GAAAGGGATGAAAGTGCCACTTCGAAAGATCTACTTTAAAAGATCTACTGCAAAACCCATTCTATCCGTTGCAAACCACGGAAGAGCCTGAGACGAGTGACATTATTCATTGTTGTGTCATAGAGGTGCAAGAAGATGAACCCAGTTCATCTGATTCGCGGCCTCAAGGCTGTCACGACCAACTAAGGGAGATATGGTCGCAAGGCCATCACGAGCCCATTCGAATTGGGCAGTGGCCCTAAGGCCTTCAAGTGCCACGCTTACCAGCAATGCAGCCCCAAGGCCGTCAAGAGCCAATACTCACCCGATCTCCAAGACAGTCTCAAGTGCAATTGCAGCAAGCTGAGCCTTTGCTATGTGGATTGTTAAATCGAGGTGTTAAGAGAAACAGGATCACTCCCCTTTTTGAATCACTCAGTTCTGATGAACAAGCTGATGTGATGGTAGTAAGCTAAGAGGGTGAAGAACCTGAAAATCCAATGGCTCACTTCAATGATATTCTGAGCAATATTCTGGATAGGCTCAAAAAAGCTCGACCTATCAGGTATCTTCGCAGCAAGAGGCCAATTCTCCTCTCGCCCCCATTTCAAAGAAGAACAAAGGAGGCATCCACCTCCTCCTATGACCCAAACTCCAAGACCTCTAAATCCTCATGTCTTCCCTGATGGTCAGCCCAACATAGCTTCTCAATCTATTTCCTAATCGGTTACCCAAGAAGACATTCGAACCATGATCAATAGAAGTATCCAAGGCTTATAGACTTCAAAACCACAGGAAAATATTCATTATAAGAAGCCTTATCCGCCTTTTATTGATCAAATCCCCTTTCCCCTGGGTTACCAAAAGGGAAGATTGCCTGTCTTCGACGGCACCGACTCACCCCAGCAACATGTGGCACGCTTTGTGTCAGCATGTCAAGAGTCAGCTTCCGATCCCAGACTGCTCCTTCAACAGTTTGTGGAAACCCTGGTTGGGCCCTCTTTCAAATGGTACACACGGTTACCTCTAAATTCAGTTCATTCTTGGGAGGAAATGGAACATTTGTTCTGCAAACGTTTTTATGCGGTGGAACGAGAGGTTCAAGTCATAGAACTTCTCACAATGACTCAAGGAATGAATGAATCGGTAAATGAATAATCCAGAGATGGAGGGATCTCGTGGCGCATCATTGTGAACATCCCAGTTCAAACTCCTGGGCTAGCTAAACCAGCAACCTCACAAAATGTTACCAAGGCACCTTCTACTTCTCACAGTGTGAAGGAAGAAGAGAGAGGTCAATCGAGCAAGACTCTGAAGACAAAAGAGACCATGGAAGCATCACACATGGTTGCATTACAAGAGGAACAGCCTTGTAGCATTTCCATGGATAGGCTATCCCCTGATATGTTCCCCATCACCTTTGACATACTAATACAGCAAGAGACGATTGCACTCTGTTTACCTAAGAGGCCGAAACATTTTAAAGAGGAAGGTCAGGACTGATGATGGCAATACCACCAAATGAAGGGACATGATTTGTTCCACTGCTACGAGTTCCGAGTTATCTTGGATAAACTCACGAAGAATAGTGAAGTGTTCATAGATAACACGCCACATCCGCAGCAAAAAGTTACTCGGGAATTCGAGGCTTTGGTGTACAAGATAATGGAGCAGGTTCAAACTCTTAGCCATTACTCCTAAAGCTCACCAATTATGAGGAAGATGGACAATGAGCCGTCAAGCAATCAAGGGTTGAATGATGGAAAGGGAATGCTAGCACCCTATGCAGTGATTGAGACTACAACAGCTCAACACACTCAAAAGCATGCGTTCCAGAACCTGGGTATAGTGAGAAAAGAGCAAGGGTAACTAGGCATTCCAAAAGCGACAACCCGCAATGCCGCCCAGTTGCAGTGAAAAATAGGCAATCTACGACATTCTGAATGAGTGCAGGTAAAAAATCTAGTTCAAGAAAATATTATTCGCCTGGCCACATGGAACGTAGGAACGCTTACAAGAAAGAGTTGGAGTTATTGAATCTAGTGAGAAGAAGGAAAACATAGCTTGTCTGTAGAAAACTAAGTGGAAAGGAAAAAAAACTAAAGAAATAGATAAGTATACACTTTGGTACACAGGAAAGGAAATAATAGAAATGACATAAACATAATAATAGACAAAGATTTAAAATATAAAGTAGTTAATGTCAAAAGTGTAGATGAAAGGCTCCTATTAATTAAACTTGTATTAGGGGAAGATAAAATTAACATAATTAGTACTTCTACACCACAAGTTCTATAGAATAACTATGAAACCAACTTTACTTTATGGAACAGAATATTAGACGGTCAAGAAACAACATACTGATAGAATGAGTGTAGCTGAGATGAGGATGTTGAGATGGATGAATGACAAGACAAGAATGGATAGAATCTGAAATGGGTACTTTCAGGGAATTTAGGTACAACCCAATAAGCAATAAAATGATAGAAACTAGACTTAGATGGACTGGCTATGTGTGGCATAGATCCAGTACATTAGGAGGTACAGTGCGAGCTACTTCAAGTGCAAGGCTCTAAAAGAGCAAGAGATTGGCTCAAAAGGAAATAGTCGAAAGTAGTGAGAAAAGAAATTGAAACTTATGGCCTCATTTGACGGTATGACACTTAATAGAGAAAAATAGCATACCAAAGTTCGTGCAGATGACCCTAATTAGTTCAAAAAAAGCTCTGACAACGACAATGATGACTATCCAAAAAACATCATTTATAACTATTTTTTAGTATCTTTTGGTATTTTTTAAGGCCGGATTGTGTTTGATCCGGCCATTCCAACAATTTGGATCGATTTTTTGGATGCCCAACTAGGACGCCGATCCGGCTTTTTTAAACATTGTGTACAAATGGTAGTTCAATGTTAGAAATGTAGAATTTGGTAAGCGCACGAACTCCATTGTCCCAGCATGTACACTCAATTCCAGAAAAAACAATTTGGGTAATTTAGTTTCGGCAAAACATTATACCAAATATTAAAACACCGTATTCTTGAATAGCTTCATGTATTCAAAGGTAGCAATGCAGATATCAATGTTCGCAAAATCAAATCGGAAATGGGCTCAGAAGTGGCTTAACTGGCCTAAGTAGTAAACCAGACGATTCAACCTCGTTAACCGGGCAAGTCCGGGCGGTCAAAAAAGTGTTGAAAAAAATAAAACATTAACAAAAAAATATCTACAAAAACTTCAAAAACATATAAAGAATGATTAAAACAATACACATTCAAATAAAATTGAAAATTAATAAAATAATGAATTTTAACGAATTGATTTGTACCTAGAGGTATTTTTAAAATTTTTTGAAAAAGATGGAAAAATATAAAAGTGAGTATTAATGACCAAAATACTTTTAATCTTTACCATAATGTAAAGAATATTAAAAATACATTACTAATCAAATTCCTATTTTGGAATTTATATACATTTGTTTTGAATTGCTTTTTTTAAATACCGGTTGATCAAAACAGCCCAAAATTGGAACCGGCCACATAACCAAGCGGCTAGCAGT